GTGAGCCTTGGGGGACCACTTAAATAAAAGAAAACTGATAGCCAAAAAAAACAAAAGGACCCAAATAAACCCATTCTACAGACGGATGCTGTCAAATGTGCGAAAACAACCGATATGTTTGCTGCCGGGGCTGCAGTAGCTTCAACATCAGCTACGGTACCCTGCATAGTGCAGGCACTTGAAGGAGTAAAAGAGCTGTGGAGGCCACTGCCAGGCAGAGAAGGAGGCTGTGTTAACAGAGCAGACAGACAAAGTGACATGGCCGAGTGAGAGAAAGAGCAGGAGGAGAGTGGAGGTGAAGTGGTAAGCATGGAGTAGCTTAGCCTGTAGGGAGGGAGCAGGAAGGGAGGGTCATTTACACTGGGGACGCTAGGGACATGTAGCCACCACTTTTTGAAAGCTTTTGTTAAAAATGTTCTGAAAAACAGCCCACAACAATGTTAATTAACAAATAAAAATGCCATGAGAAAGGTTTTTTTGCGCTTAAGAAAACCTGCAATGCAATGTAAATATAGAAGAAACCTCTGCATTGTCCAAAAAAAGTAACTTAAGCAAAAAATAATAATAAGCTACTGTTTACTGCATAATATTTTATTATATTTTCATATTGTGAATTGTCACCTTCGCACTTGAATTTTGTGCTTCCCTTTATAAAAATAAAGACATTTCCACCATCATAAAATGTCTCCAGGATGCAGGAAATGAAGTTTTAAATGCTCTAAATCTTCTGGGTGAGGACCCCCAGACCCCCCTATTGACTATTTCATCAATACATATTTTTTCAAAATAGTAGGTCTATTGAAATATATTCTTGTCTTGTAGTCATGGATGCCAATCTTGTGCTAATGTTACGTATCAGTGTTTCATCACACCCCTAATCTGACCCCCTACATGGATTGATGGTGTAGTGGTGAGGGGTGTCCTACCGACTTTGGTGGGCCGCCTCAGCCAAAGATGCCAGGGCCGATTTTTTCTGTCCCAGTTCAGCCCTGTTAACAATATGAAACACACAAGAGATCTGTGCCTCAATAAAATCCGTGCCTTTCCAAATCATGTCCAATAAACTGAATTTAATACAGGTAGTGAGCAGTGGAAACAGGATGCAACTGAGCTCAATTTTGAGTGTCATGGCTGTCATGGCTTTGTTATTTTTGTTTTTTATTTTTAATAAATATTCAAAGATTTCAAATAAACTTCTTTCACGTTGTCATTATGTATGGAACATCCAAAGTGACAGAACTGAATGAAAGAATAAATAAATAAATGGGGAAATATATCAAAGAAAGAATGAATGAATAAAAGAATAAATAAATAAATGCAGAAATATATCAAAGAAAGAATGAATGAATAAAAGAATAAATACATACATTTGCTTTTGCCTTTCCCCAAGGAGACCTATTGTCATTGCTTTTCCCTTCCTCTTCCTTAACTGTCAATCAACGTGTTGTGGCCCGCCCACTAAGTCCAACTAATCACTCACAGAAGTATTTCTCTCCATGACCAGAGATGTATAAAGGTTTGATACACACTCCATACCAATTTGTGGCGGTAACGCACCAATTCGTTGTTTGCCAACAATAAAAGCACAAAGAGGAAGAAGAAGAAGAAGAAGGAAGAAGAAGCTAATGTTAGACAGAACCAGCACATGTCAATGTGATCTAAATGCAGAAGTCCATTTACCGGAGATAACTGTAAGAGAGAGAGGGAGAGGGCAGAGAGGCAGAGGTGTTGGAGGTGCAGTCAGGGCAAGGAGAGGCAGAGGACCTACCTAGAGTGATGGCTCAATAGAGGACGAAGAAAGAGTGGAAGCCCTCCAAAGGAACCCGAGGGCTGTTACCGAGGTTTGTATTTATAAGGTTGTTGTAACATTATTAAATTCTGACCTGTTTGCACTTTATGACAAACCCCAGCACACAGTGATAACGTTATTTACATAGCAGCTCTGTGCACATGTACCCCTGGTACTGTAATGTTAGATAGTAGTAACATGTCATTTACTGGGCAACAATGATTATATGAAGCCATATTATACAAGTTGAGCAAACACTGGCCAGCCTGCAAACCCTAATATGCAGTACCATGTCAACATAATGTCATGCAACTTATAAAGCCTTATTTTATCAGAATCACAAATTCTTTATTGATACCCAAGGGGAAATTCTTGGACACAATTGCTAAGCTTGCATGTCAATTAAATATAAAAATTATAAAATCTAAATCTAAATAAAGGTAATGTGGACATGTAAAGTAATTTACAGCATCAACAAAAGTGTAATGATAAATAGTAGTAGTGGATTAAATATTAATAGTAATAATGAGTATATTTCATTTGGAATGGATACAATCTTAAAAACATCGAGACAGAGTAACCAGAGTACTGAAGCAGAGAATATTGCATATTGAGTATTTTTCGCTGTGTCCTCTTTCTTCAGACTTCTTCAAGAGATGACCCTTGAAGAACACAGAGCTCTCCACCCTTCTGCTGGAGAGGCAGCCAGGCCTGGTCTTTGATGCCTTGATGATGCATCAGCACAGACATGGTGCCCCACCTTCTGCCGGAGTGCCAGGAGTACCTTGGTGTACTTGTGGTAACTGTAGGGAAATGCTGTGCACAGCATTTACTGCCACACTTCTCCCAGTACTGCCTTGAAGAAGGCTTTATTCGCATTCACAGGCAGTACCTTGTGGACATTATGGCATTAGGCAACATCAGGGAGCCTGGGGATGACAACAGGGAGTACCGCTATGGTGCCTATAGACACTTCATCTATTGGCAACATGGAGCTTTAGGCCAGGGAAACCAACATGTCGTCCCTAGTTGTTGTGTTTAGAGGATTAGAGACAAGTTCCCTGATCCTCAAGGACACTACATGGTTTTATTCCTGGACTGTGAATTTCCTTCCAGGCCCTCTGGCATGGTCATACAGTTTCACACAAATACTCACAAACCTGCCTCACCATCATCAAGGCATCAAACAAATGTACATAGTTAACATTTGATTTATTATTACATTTCTATATATATTTATTCATATTTCTCCCCTCTTTATTTAAATTTGATGTATGTTGTATAGTTACATATAGTGTTATAGTTGTTCAACTGCAGTTCTATGGTATCGAAAAAATAAAAAGGTAAGAAATAGAAGCACATGGTGTTTTTATTTTCATTGTATACATTTGAACATGTGTTTAGAATTTCAAATTTGCCATAACATTTCCAATACCAATTTTAGTTATTTATATTTACATAATAGGGGACAGCTGTAGCCTTACTTATCATTACTGTTCAAATTGTAAACTGTAATTTAGGCTACCTACTGAAAATAATATGCGCTGGTCACAGTGGACTTAGCAGAATAAGATGAAACGTGTACAAATTGGAAAAACATGAAATAACCACTGGAGGAGGGTAGGAACAGAATTTAATGTTAATAAATTTCTCTTTTTGAAGGATAAAAGCTATGACTTTGTCAGTGAACTGAAGTTCTTTCCCTCGTGATCCTGCCTGACAAGTACCAGGACACATGCAAGGTGATCTCCTATGGGGATCCTTCCGCATCAGATGCTGGTCGGAATAACGGTCCTGTTGAAGACAGTGCCATCAAACATAGTTACAGACTATATTGTAATGTAAGTATCATTCAGTGACATGTAATATGGTACAACATAGGCAACAAATTTGTGACTTGTCTCTGCAACAAGTCTGATGTTGCTGGTGCAGGTACGGGGGGCACCAAACCAAGCTGTCTGGGGTCATCTAGGAGAAGGCTCCTCCTTCTAGGCATCCCCACTCCACTTGTGAGTCTGTTCTTCACAATCCTTCTTTGCAACTCGGAAATGTATCCGTAGGTTTTTTCAGATTTCAAGGCATATACGCTGTATCTTCTACCATTCTTCTTATACAATCTTTTGAAACTGAAATTACACAAATTACAACCATTTAATATCAGCTTATAAGTAGAACAAGAGAAAACCTTGAGTGTAAAGACAATCAATTGCATATAAAACATGGGCTGAATATTGTACTATGAATGGGAATATTGTGTAAAACGTACATCTCTTTGCCGTCCAACGTTTTCATTGTTGGTCGGTTCCGGTGGAAATTGTAGTCCAAAGCAGCAAGCAGAACTCTTGCCTCATAAACTGGGGGGCTGAAAACATAACGCTTGCTGGCATACATCAGGATATGATTCTGGAATGACTCTAGGTCTGCAGTCGATCTGATAGAACAAACAAATACATACTTCTGTGTACATGAGCAGTAAGCATAAATATTACTAATATACATCATTCTGAAAAAGTATAGCCACACTACCTGAATCACAGATAGTTGTGAACATCTTTCTGCCACCTCTTATTGAGAACTATATCCACTAAAGCTTTGTGTTACTGGGAGTCTCTCTGGATCCACATCTTTCCCCGCATTTGATCCGATTCAAGGTGCCCGTGTTTGCAACTTCCCATAGTCCAGGTGTGAATGTTGCAGACATGGTGAAGGATGCCAAGCCATAATGCCTGCAAAACATAAAAATGCACTATCAATATGTCCTTAATATAGCAATTAATGAAATTACTCAAAGATATAATACAATTGTGTGCTTACAAGAAACTGCCCACGTGTGTCGGCAGTCTTGCAACACCACCGAAAATGGTTGACTATGTCCTTCAGCCAGTTGAAGAGGATGGACTGTCCCTTTTATCTTAAAATAAATATTACTGTAAAATACAGGCATTCAACTATAGTCTGTGTGTAGAGGTTAAAGTGTAAATGTTCAACACCCCCCCCCCCCCCCCCCAAAAAAGAACACACTAACTGACTACACCAAATGTCTAGAATGAGTAACACATCTTCTGGCAGAGGAAAGTAAACAAAAGTAAACAAAATCTGTTGTCTTTGAGTGCAATGAAAACTTCCATACTGTCATCCATCAACTGCACATAGTTCAATAACCCTAATGTACAGAATAGTAACTTTATGGTTAATAATTGTTTCACAACATTAGCCAGTTATTACACTTACTGCTGCTATTTTTTTTGGCAAGGTTCTTCGCACCATGCCACATATCCAGACTGTGATGAATTCCAAGGGCCTTGTATTTGCCTTTGTCTGGGTCTATGAAGTGGTAAATAATGTCATGTTACCATAATATTTATATTACTGTTATACACATGCATTCATATGTAGTGAACAACAGTGTGGATTTGTGCATTTTTCATGGAATAAATGTGGAGCTACCCTAAATTCCTTTCTCCTCCCCAGAGAAGATGGGGAGGGGTCAAAGTTGCTTTCTCTAAGTGCTAGCCCGACCATAAAACTGGCACCATTTTGATTCCGAAGCTGATAACGCGGGGCCTGACTGTTAAACTGACAAAGGGACACGAGCCAGCCATTGGCATCTCCCTGAACAGCCTATCAAAACTGGCCCCTCCACACACGTTTCCGTGGCAACTGACCTTATTCTTTGTTTTATTACCACATCAAAAGGATACTCCTTGTCTCACCTAAGTGTGACATGTTCCAGACACTGAACTTTGGATGACAAAGGACTGCAGTCTCCAAAAGACTCAAAGCATCTAATTAAATTTAATTAAATCTTTAGTTGAATATGTTGGCCTCTATTTGAGTAGTTATGTTAACTGTTGTTGCTATCTGTTGTTGATATTAGTGCTGAAAAGAAGTTACTTGTGCAGTGTTTTTTATTTTCAGCAAGACACCCCTTCATCTGATGTAATCAATGCTTGTTCATAATACTTTCTTACAAAATCCCTTTAGAAATGATGACAAAGAAATGTTTTACTATACTCTTAATCGCCAGCTTGAATTTAAGGATGAATCAACAATATTCCCCGGTTCCTAAGGAGAGACGATCTTTGATTTAATCCAAGCTTTCCTCATGTAACCTGAGCTCCCCCAAGTGGACGAAATAAGTATTACATGCCCTCGTCGGAAATGCGGTTAAATGTAGAAAAATCCTGACCAATAATGTGACAATTGTTTCCTGTTACCAAATGCCTAGAACAGTGCAACCGTTCAACCATTGAGGTTCGATTGTGGAAAATATTTGATTATAATACGTGCAAATGGATTTCTTTTCTTTAGACATTAAGTTTAGAAAGGCAGTCCCTGGGGAAACCTGAGACGCCCCCTGGGGAACCACGCCCCAGGCAACAAAAGAGCGACACGCGACCTGCTCTTGGCGCTTGTCTCTTCCCTCTTCTCGCTCTTCCACTCAGCCCTCTGGATGCTTCGGCACGCGCGTAGCGTGCCTCGCCAGGCAACGCCCAGACTCGGCCAGCGAAACAAACAGGCCCTTTGTTCGCTTGAAGCTACACACCTGAAGTGCCGAGACATCGATCTGCCTTCAGTTTGTTTTATTTTCTTTATTTCTTTTGTTTGTTAAAGTTATGAGTCCGTTACACTGGACTAATTCAGGAACGAGCAAGTTCCATTTTAAGCCTTTTGCGTCAAAGCCAACTTCACTGAGGTCAGACCAAGCCACGTGGTCTCGCCAACTGCAACAAAGGAAACCTGCAAACAGCTGAATTGCCAGACGGAGGAGGCGTTTTCAATCAGACACGGAGAACCCCGGAGAATCCCTAGCAAAAAGCCAGGATTGCCAGCTAGCGTGGGACCCGTGCAACAGGCCAAAAGCAGGCTGTCGACAAGCAGTAAGACTTAACACACGTCCTGTGATCAGATGTCCATTTTAACTCTTAAACTATAGCATTAGTTTACTTTCATTAGTTCTTCTATGCCGTATGAGTCAAATGCTTCCCACAGTCGAACCTCCAGGCTCATTGTTCAGCAAATGTTTATGTTCCCTGTATCCAACCATCTTTTTATCACCTTAGTTAGAGAATAAATTCACTGTAATATAATCAAGAGCTGTGTGTGTTGCCTATTTATAGTTCCTGCCAAGAGAATTGACCCTTTAGATATGAGACTGACTGACTGATTTAAGATAATTGAGCGATTATTAACTAACTGATCACTAGTAATAATTGTATAATTATTCAAAACTACCTAGAGGTCCGGAGACTCTAGGATTATAACAACTCCGGTGGTGCCCTTTACGAGGAAATTCTGATTTTATGAATAATAATTCATAATTGGGTATCAATTCTCATAAATTTATTAAAATGCATAACTAATAAATTTAGGTCCACTACACATACAATATATCACATGAATACTTACTCATAAGGGCACCAATCTGGGCATGAGCATCTGTGCAGATCTCCACTAGCTTTATTTCTGATGTAAGCTTGTCCAGTCTGGATGAAACCCTCCTTCTCCATGACGACAGAGTTCCATGATGCTTGCCACTTGTCTATGGTGGCAACATGAATGATCTCCTTGGTGTCATTCTCCATGGTGGTGTAGCTGCAGTATTGTGCACAGTGACCAGGAGAGTCATTTCTGACATCTGTTGAAATGTTTTAAAATATAATTCAACAGAACAACAGTTATTAGTTGCTTACTGTATTCAATAGCTATGTTACATAATACAGTATCAACTACACACCTAGGACAACAACATCTTCCTGAATCGTCGTGTCCTGAATGGAGAAGAAAGTGTTCCTGTTCACCATCCCCATGTTCATGAATTTGAACAAGAGGGCAACCTTTGTGTAGTTGTTGCCAGACAACAAAATGTTGGTGGACAAGAGAAAATCTCCAGCTTGCATCCCAAACTTCATCACAGGCTGGGAATTCCACCTCCAAAAACTGTGTCCATTATTTCTAAAAGTCCCACAGTAGAAACATTAGCTTATATATATATATATATATATATATATATATAGACCTATATACAACCTTTCATTTTATACTAATTTAAAGTTGTGATATTCTGTGATTGTCTGGACTTACCCATTCGATAGTAGCTGCTGTGCCCTTGGTGGTGATGTTGATCTCAAAGGGTGCAACAGAGTTGCACCAGTCCTCATAAGGCCAGTGCATTTATCCACAGGCAGGATCAGAAATGTAGCCAGTTGTCTTAAGCAGTTCTCGTACACTATGGAGGCTCTGACACCTATGATGTCATCTTTACAAAGGACATTCTGTGGTTCTGGGAAAACAGGGTCATGATCACAGGGAGAAGGCTCATCAGGAGCATCTTCATGTGCAGGCAAGGAAGTCCATCGATAGAGTGTGCTTTCTTCAGTGCATTCTATTGAGGCACAAAAATCTGTAGTAAACAAACACCACAAAACAATTGCAAATTGAGACTGACAAATAACACACCGTATAGAAATCGGTGGAAGATCCTCTTCATCAGAGCTGAAACCATTCTGTCCATCATCTCTTTCAAGGCCCAATCAATTCTTTACATAATGACAACTTTCAGATAAAAACAAGTTCTCAAATAATATCACTAAAAAATAATACATGTAATTAGGAAGTACTACTTACACACTGTTCATTGGGTCATTGAAAATATTTTCCTCCAAGTCCTCCTCAACAATGCTCATGTCATGCAAACTGCAAAAAACATGTTACAAATAGTATATATTATGAACATTTGGAAAAAAGCAATACAGGGCTAAAAGTTATGATGTGTACATGTTACCTTTGTTCAAGGCCCTGAATTTCTGTGGCTTCTGGAATGACATCAAGATGCTCATCTCTGTAAAGAATAACCAGAGCAAGTTGTGTAAATCCCACATATGCTCATTCAACAGTAGATATACACCAAAAATAAAATAACACACTAATCATAAAGTTCATGTTTCTAATCAAAGCTATTAGAACAAAATTAATATATTGTTATGCATGACTTACCGGTCTGTTCCACTAGAAGCACCAATGCTAGACAATGCTGGAGCTGGGACTTGCGAAGGTTTTCTCTTCAAGGGAGTTGATGTTGCAGGACCTGTCTCGTAGCTGGAGAATCAGCAGTAGCCTCAATAAATGAAGTGCTACTTGACTGTAATACATTACTGTACTTTAATCCACAGTGTGTTACATCTTTGTAGGGTTTGCTCATCTTGCCTAATAAATTGATCATCCCAAAAACGATCACATCTAGTGCAAGTATGATCACCGACAGACAACATGGAAAACGTAAGCCAAGAGTGTGTAAAAATGTCCCTGTTTCTGTACCACAGTCCATTATAAAACAAATCATGGGCAAGTTTACAAAGCCATAGTCAGGTGAGGATCAAGGGTGCTCTACAATATAATATAACACAAATAAGTACTGAGTGCCATAATTTGAGTTTGTGGTAACCTTTGTATGCACCGTAGAAGCAATACAAACAAATACGTTGTTTCTAATATAAATTCTGACAATAAGCATAATTAGTCACTTGATAAGCACACAGTGTTGTTATCGTAATGCTGTTAGCAGTAAAAATAAATGTTTTCCCCCAGGGCAGTAAACATTTAGCTTGCTAATCTGACCCACCATGCTCCATGCAATGTTACGGTTTTTAGCTAATTGTAATCATCAGCTGATTGTCTCACAAACACAAAAGACACATTTCTGTTCAATAAACAAACAACCTTCGAAATAACAATCCAACTAACGTTACATATTTCTTCTTCAACAGGGTAGTAAAAGTTTAGCTGGCTAATATGAGCTGTTATGCTTGCTGTTTTGCGGTCAATAATACTAATCAGCTGATTGTCTCACGAACATAAGCAGCACATTTATCCCCACATAGCGAAGCCATAACACAGCGAGGGAGAAGAACCACATGAAACTATCCACCTACATATTTTTTCTAACAGGGTAGTAAAAGTTTAGCTGGCTAATATGAGCTGTTAGCTGTAGGCTAACTTACTGTTTTGCGGTCAATAATACTAATCAGCTGATTGTCTCACGAACGTAACCGGCACATTTATCCCCACATAGCAAAGCCATAACACAGCGAGGGTAAGAACCACATGCAACTATCCAACTACATATTTTACACCACTGACAAGGGAAAAGTCACTTCTCATGGTGTCTATGGCTAGCTTCTGGCTAATGCTAACATTATCAAACAACAGTTTTCATTTGCAATGCTAAAGTTGGAATACCTTACCTGTCCATCACAAAACAGGCAACTCAGGTGTTGCTTTGAAAACATTTTTCCCTCATTAGACCCTTCCATCTGGGAAAAGCCACACCGATGTTTACCCATGATTTCTGCCTGCGTCGCTCCCGTATAAGTCTGGCTTCATCATGCTTTCGCTTCTTTGAAGCAGATTCACCCTCCGTCGGCTCTTGTGCTAAATAATAGCTGTGGTCCTCCATTTGTCCAAAATTCCACTACTAATAAAGGAGAGCTTCTACTACTACCTAACGTTAGTAGTTAGAAACGTACAACTTCTTCTTGCTCTTGCTGCTACTTCTTCTGTTGCTTCTCTTTCAAGGTAGTAATGAAACGCGCTCTGCAGCGCTGTTTGTTCGCTGTAGGCTAGGGTAGAAACATGATGACACAATATGTCGACCTCCACAGCAGGGTGTGTCTCGTGTATGTAGATATAAATAGCTCATTCTAAGGTAATAAAAACATAAGGGTTCATTATGCAAGGTCTCCTCAGATATATTATACACTGAATCTTTAACTAGTAACTATAGGCTATTTATGTTATATTAAGTTGTTGCAGTTAAACTGCCATCCTTTTAATTAACACCTAAAACACTGCTGAGAGTGCAACTGTGTGTACACGTTGTCACAGTTAGCCATGGTTTTCGTTCACTTCGGTGTCATGTACCACCATGCACTTGGAACGCTTTGATGTGGGAAGTCGGAAGTTTCAACTGGGAAATATCCCAGTTCCGACCAGTCTTGAATGTAGCATAACTCCTTCTAAACTTTCTACCAATCATAACACTCTTCCAGGGACAGCATATCCACACTGAAGATAGGTATCGGTCATCGGCTGCTCGACCTGACTTCGTGGGCGGGCCACAACACGTTGATTGACAGTTAAGGAAGAGGAAGGAAAAAGCAATGACAATAGGTCTCTAAGGGAAAAGCAATGACAATAGGTCTCCTTGGGGAAAGGCAAAAGCAAATGTATGTATTTATTCTTTTATTCATTCATTCTTTCTTTGATATATTTCTGCATTTATTTGTTTATTCTTTTATTCATTCATTCTTTCTTTGATATATTTCCGCATTTATTTATTCTTTTATTCATTCTTTCTTTCTTTGATATATTTCCCCATTTATTTATTTATTCGTTCATTCAGTTCTGTCACTTTGGATGTTCCATAATTATGGGGTATTGTTTGTAGAATTTAGAGAAAAATATTGAATTTCATCCATTTTAGAATAAGGCTGTAACATATGGAAAAGTGAAGCGCTGTGAATACTTTCCAGATGCACTGTACCTCACACCTCACATCATTACAGTTCATCATAACAAATTAACAACTTCATCTGTGAGGTCACTGTGATCTCAACACATGGAAACAGTGGGAAATAAACCCAATAAACGGTAGTGAATTGATCATAACAATAAGGTTGCATAGTGTAATTCTCATTATTTTGTCATTAGTATTAATTTTAGATAATATTAAGGGGGTTCGTACTGTAACTGAGGAGAGGTGTGGTGCTGTCATGCCTCTTAATGTCACTGTTAGGTTACTGCAGAACCTGCTATTGATTGGGCCACACGCAAGTAAGCCTCGTACACTCTCAGGCTGACGGTTCAGCACTGACGACACAGTGGCATCATGAGTTTGACATATGAGCGTCTCAGCCATGTCATGGCTGCAGTGTACACAGCTGAGAGTGTGACACCTCTTTCCCTACGGTGAACATTTTACTTTTGAAATTCTGCTGCAGTTCATGTTTAAATTAAAGGGTAGCTATAGCCATGCTGATGACAAATGAATGTATTTTTAACATAAGCATTTTCATTTGTTAATTTGAAATATCAAATTTGCAGTTTTAAACAATTTTTTACACCAGAATACAACCTCTACATAACCCTCTAAAAACAGTGCAAGTAGATGGTGTCACACGGCGTATATTCTACTATCCTACAAACATGAAAACATTGTCATGGCTATGCTACTTTCATTCACTGTTCCTCTGTAACAGGTGGCATACAGTAACTTTGTCAATATTGTACATAATGTCAAAACTGAAAAAAACACAAAGACAGTATGATTGACCTTCACTAATAATTTTCCACATTTAATATCTTTTTGTTTTGCAAAATCTTTTTGTATAACAAACTGATATCATGCAATTTGTCAAGGATCAAAGAGCGAAATAGAGCATTGGGAGATGAATCTCTGTATTTACAGCAATACTCGCCCAGATGGGGTCGAGTATATCTAGCACTGATCCAATACTGCTGATTGTCAGCAAAATGTTCAGAATGAGCAGAGAACATAAAGCAAGGCACTCCCAATAACTTCCTTCTTAGAACACCCCATTGATTAAAAAGAACAGTGAATCTCTCTATTATCTCTCTCCATAATTCCACTGACCCTGATGTTTTAAATCCAAACCCTTCTGGTTTCCTCATGCAAATTATCCAACCACCAGACTTAACCCACATTGGTGCCAGCCCCTTGGCCAGTGACTCATCATCTGG